AATAAACAAAACTAGGTAGAAAGCATCACAATGGTTACCAGATTGAAATCTCAAAGAACAATGATTTTTTTTGCTTTTTCACTCCAAGTCTCAAATTACCCTCTTTTCTATTTTTTTCAAAGATCTATATATAGACACGTTCATTTCGGTAAAGCATAAAAATCAAGCAAATCTCTTTTAAAGGGTCTGTAAGTTATTCTCCTAATGATTCATAGATTTCCTTTCTTTCCATTTACCTGTAGTTTTCGAAAAACAAGATAGCTAGGTAATTATTACTTTTTGCATTATCTCAAGATGTGAAAGAAATTGTTAATGGCCTTTAAATGGGATGTCTATAATCTGCCACTTCATACATTATTTGCACCATATTGTGTATGAGAAGATCAGCATTATATGACATTCAAAAAAATTACACCCTAAAACTAGCTTTAGTAATGGGTAAAAATTGTGAGACAAAAAACCCATCTTTGTACCTCGCGGCCATGTCTCCAGCACCATATGGCAATTACTACTCAAGACTTCCTTGCCTATGGAGTGTAAATCTGAAATTTTGTGTAAAAAAATAAAATAAAATTGCGGATCACGACCCACCAGGGCCCACCAAAACCGTAGTGTTGCACTAGACGCCATTTGTGTAAAAAAGGGGTCAATGATGTGTTTGGTGGAAGAAAAATAGTTTGATAAGAAATTAAATTAAGTAAAATAATGATAAAAATTTTTTTTGTTGAACATGAGTTTGATTGATTTAAAAATTAAACTAATTGTGTTTTATAAATATGTTAGGGAGCTTTGATAAAATATACATGGTTGCTGTAAAAACTAATAGTTTGTCGCAAAAAGTAAACCTCGTACGTCACAACACTTTGTTGTTCGTGATAAGCTTTCCACCAAAAAATATTTTAGCGCCTTGTTTTCATTATATTTTTGGCTCAATCTTTATTATTTATTACGTCTTTTGCATATTACGACAACGTTTTATATTTTCAAACAATAATTGCAAAAGGTCTAAACATAATAGTGACCGTGGCAAAAAAAGACGTTAAGACAATAAGCAAAGAATATTGCGAACTATAATAAAAGTAAATCGTGAAGAACGTTGCAAAACTAAACAGCAATGTCCAGTTGAGGGTTTTTACAACATGCATTGCAAGTTATCATATTCTTCGACTCTATGATAACATCAGAGCCTGCAACATATAGCAGAAAAGGCCCAAACCACACGATATTAAACAAGATATCAAAGAATCAAACTCAAAGCAGTAAGTTAAAGTTGCAGAAATTAAAATGAAC